ACACGTACATATACATGCACGCACATACTTCCGCCTGCTTCTGTGCACACATGAGCTCAGTTTCCCACACAAACTGGTATGTGCACTCGTCTGTCTCGCCCACAAACACGGGTTCGCCGAGTCCACCCAACTTGCAGGTGAACGTAATCAGGGTCGATGTGGTCCCATCTTTCACACTAAGACAGGGCTGTCCATTGGAGTACCGTAGAGAGACTACGCCGTCCTTGGCTGCGAATGAGTGGTAGAGGACAAATAAAGAGGAATTGGATGAGGAGGTGTAGGGCTGATATAGGGCAGAATAAACCCCAATATACACGCGGGACATGGTCCATAATTGGTGCAATCACAGCTTTCCACCCGACTGATAATAGTCGGACAGTCTTAAAATTTGCCTGTGAATGAGTGGTAGAAGACAAAGAAAGAGAAATTGCACTAAGAGGTGTAGGGCTGATATAGGGCAGAATAAACCCTGGGATATACACGGGACGTATACCAAAATTGGTCTAATCTCAGCTTTCTAGACGATTGATAATAGTTATATAGCGTTAAACGTAACCACACCATTGTCCGATTGAGTACCGATATGAGTCTACGCCAAGTTTGGCTTACTAGAGATGGCGAAGGACAATTGACGAGGAATTGGATCGAGACGTATAGGAGCAATACATACAAAGGTAGAAGAAAATATATCACAACCACAGGGATGGACAATTATACAGGAACGAATCTCTAGACAACCATCTTACACACCTACGTGCACAGAATCGGAACAGCCTGAGAGAAAACCTTCATATCGTATACATTGTATTTTATGCTTTACGTTTACACATTACCTTAAATTTTACAATGCATTATATATATATATATATATACATTACATTATGTTTTATATTTTCACACTTACGTTTTATATTTTATACATACATTTACACAATACAACAAATTACACATAACATTACGTTTTATATTATACACTTGCGTTTTATATTTTATACTTACGTTTACATAATACAACAAATTACACATTATACTTTAACACAATACAATAAATTTTATATTTTACACTTTACATTTAAACATTACATTACATTTTATATTTTACACTAAATTCACATATCTCTGGGCATAAACTCCGCAATACTTCAATTGACGAATGCTATATCATCCACCAGGAACAGGTCGAATCTGCGCGCATGCACAGATACATATATGCCACAGTATCAATACAAAGTAAAGTACACTACATTTTTTATCGCTACATCCATGTATGCGTGTATTACAAACACATGCACACACATAC